GCTCAGGCAATCCACTTACCTCAGCCTCCCAAGGTGCGGGATTACAGGCTGAGCCACCGAGCCCGGCTGAGAGTTTCTAAACTACTGTTTCACCAAGGTTCTTCAATCAACTGGAGGTTCTTCAATGAGTTCATGTGGAATGCTGGACAGAGATCCCACACTTCCAAAAGCTGTCTGGGTTCGAGGCTATTGTTCAGACAGTGCTGCTGGAATGGGAATCCCCACATTACTCATGGCTTTGGGTTCACAATTGGTGACGTTGACAGGATTGGAAAGAGGTAGGTTGATGACCCTGTTCCCCTGAGAGGTCTCCCAGCAGCTCGGGGTGAGGCCTTCACAAAGGCGGTACCACCAGCATAGCCTCATGGTATCAGTCGCTTACAGGACACTTGTAGGAAAAGATTATTTCCCTGGCCATCAGCATGCCCAAGACTTTAGATCAGTGACTTTGTGGGGCCTGCTGTCTAAGTCAGGAGCCACAGATAGGAACTTATCAAAGTTCTGGGGATACTCTCAAATCTCTAAAAGATGCAAAGGAATTTCTGTCCTAATGATAAGTCATTTCAAAGTGCATGTAACTACATTTTAAAATGCATGCTCAGTCAGGCATGGTGGCTCATGCCTGTAATCCCAGCACTTTGGGAGGCAGAGGCGAGAGAATTGCCTAAGCCCAAGGAGTCAAGACCAGCCTGGGCAACTTGGTGAGAACTTATCTGTATAATAAATAAAAAAAACTAGTCGGAGCCGGGCTCGGTGGCTCAGCCTGTAATCCCGTGCCTTTGGGATGCTGAGGTGAGTGGATTGCCTGAGCCCGTAGGTTCGAGACCCGCCTAGGCAACTTGGCAAGACCTCATCTCTACAATAAATACATAAAAAAAAAAAAATCAGCCGGGCGTGGTAGCGCGCACCTATAGTTCCAGCTACTTGGAAGGCTGAGGCGGAAGGATCACTGGAGTCCAGCAGGTCGAGGCTGCGGTGGGCCGGGAGCAGCCACTGTACTCCAGTCTGGGTGACAGAGTGAGACTCCAACTCAAAAAAAACAAACAAACAAAAAAACAAAACAAAAAACTAGTCGGGCACGTTTTTTACATGCACGCCTGTAGTCCCAGCTACTCAGAAGGGTGAAGTAGAAAGATCTCCTGAGCCCAGCAGGTCAAGGCTGTGACAGCTGTGATCATGCCACTGCAGTCCAGCCTGGACAACAGAGTGAGACTCTGACTCATAAAAAAGAAAAAAAAAAAAGAAAAGAAAAAAGAAAAAAAGAAATCACATGTGTACAGGATGGCCCTTGAAGAAATGACAGGTTGTGATACCTTAGACTGGAAATAATGAGATTTGGGGACTGCAGGTCTGGGACAGGATAAAATTTCTTTCTTTTCCTTTTAAAAAATACCAAGTTTATATCACTTTTTTAGTCTTTTAAAAAAGACCTTTTTATTTGGAAAGCTGAAGTGGAAAGATCACCTGTGCCCAGCAGGGCGAGGCTGCGGTGGCCATGAGCAGGCTACTGCACTCCAGCCTGGGCGACAGGGTGAGACTGAAACAATAAAATAAAAAAAATAAAGATCTTTTAACATGTCTTCTAGACTCTTGCCCATCCAACCAACTGCCTATCTGTAGAGAAGAGAAGGGCTTTCCTCTAGAGACAGGGAGAGCATATTTAATTAATCTGTTATCTTCTACATTACTTTGTGTCTATCCCTGGGGAATTCTCTGGAAATGATCAAGCCTGCAGGTGTCTGTGTTCCCCTAACCAAACGATAGCTCTGTGAAAGAAGAATTAAAGCACAGAACTCTAGCAGCTAGAGTTTAATTTCCAAACCCTCTACCTGGAGCTGGCCTGAGGAGCCATCCTCACCTGGGATTCTGTGCATTGCAGTGGTAGATATACTCTGATATGGTATCATCTTCAAAGAAGTCTGCAAACTTGCGCTTGAAGTCTGGCCGGAATCGCTGCACCAGGCCAGGCCCTGGGAGAAGACAGAAAAACAGAGAGTGGCCAGTTTGGGAAGAGTGAGGGCTAAGACTCCTGCCTGTGTATGCTTTAATGACTTTAACCAAACATTTCTCTTAAGCATTTGCTTGCTTTATACATTTATTTATTTATTTATTTATTGAGTTGGAGTCTCACTCGGTCGCCCAGACTGGAGTGCAGTGGCCGCTCCCGGCCACCGCACCCTCGACCTGCTGGGCTCCGGCGATCCTTCCTCCTCAGCCTTCCAAGTAGCCGGAATTACAGGCATGCGCTACCACGCCCGGCTGATTTTTTGATTTATTGTAGAGATGAGGTCTCCCTGCCCAGGGGGCCTCGAACCCTCAGGCACAGGCAATCCACTCACCTCAGCCTCTCAAAGGCGTGGGATTACAGGCTGAGCCATGCTTTATACATTTAATATGACAGTGGCAGAAAGAGTGCAGAAGTCTATTGGGAAGCTCTAGATGACTTCAAATGACAGTGTCAGTTGGTTACCAAAGAATTTAGAGACAGCCTAACATCACTGAGGAACCGGGTTATTTTCAGTTCAATGAAGTTCCAAGATCTTTCCCTCCAAGGATCACAAGCTCCCCCAGAGTCTACATTTAGATGCTCTTCTTTTACAGTCTGACCTATGTTCTCTTTCTCCCTGAGACCCTTGTGGCCTTTTAATCTTCTAATAGTAGTGGATGAAACCAGACCACCTCCCAAGAGCCCTCTCATTTACAGGCCTGTAATAGAATACTGGAGAGGTGAACTTAACAACACTGGCATGTCAGACTCAGGGCACTGTTTTAGAACAATCTGTTCCTTTCACCTCTCTTTATGGTATACATATAAGCAAAAACAGACTGCAAAAATTGGGCCTACAGATCAGCTTCCCATCTCTTTCTTTCTTCTGGTATTCTACTTGTGAGAAGTAAGGAGGTGAGGAGTTGAGAAGTGGCTGGGGAAGTACAGGGAGGATGTCCGTGGGCATGGGCCTGGGCCTGCTTCCTGGTACAATCCTCCATGTCTGTCAGCCAACTGCCCCATAATAGCTCTAATGCCAGATGCAAGGCCAGAAAACTGGAGAGTGGCTTGAGCATGGCTTGTCCCTGAAAAAAGACCGTACAGAGTCTGTTGGAGTCCACAGTGCTGGGAACCCGAGAAGGTCAGTCCTCTGCCTACTTAATTTCCCTTGGCACCCATGTCTCTTGTTAACCTTCCTTTTTCTCAGAACTCCTAAACTCCTACCTTCTACTGAAATACTCATTTTGGCTCTCTGGAGAGAGCCATTCTGTTTTTCTTGAAGGGCCTAGAGAGATAACTCTTATTTAGCCACTAGCAATTAACTCATAGTAATTGGCTACTGAACATCACTATATAGACATAAGCCATCAGTACAAGACAGGGCTTACCAACCTTTTCCATAAAGGGAATCTGCTTTTCACTTCATTGGAGTAAAAAGCTCTCTAGCAGGCAAGGGTGTGTGTGAAGTCAGGAGGCTGGAGCTTCTGAAACTATCATCATGGCTTGCTTCCCCTGACCACCATCTCCTTTCCTCCCTTTTACCCATAGAATTTTCTGACAGCTACTCCGTGCTAGGTGACAGAGTAGATAAAGATGTGGTACTTGCCTGGGGCAGGCATAGTTCAGAGAGGTTTGCCTGCCACTGTGGGTTATGTTGGAGGTTCTGACCCCTCCCTGTTGCAGGTGCTGAGTGAGCCACAGAGATGGGATCCAGTGGTAGTTACTGCGCCCAAATCACCAACAGTTTGTCATAAAAACTCACACATATCGCAGAGGAAGAGTCACCTCACAGCCCTTGCCTCTCTCTTGGGGTCTAGCCAAGTCATGGGGTAGCTGTTCTGCTCCATCTGTGCCTTGCATAGGAAAGCTTTTTCCATGAAGATGAAGGGATAAAAAGAACCTTCTGAAATCTCAAGCAAAGTGATCTGGTCCAGATTAGCAGCTTTAAATAACAATGCTAGGTTGATTCTCACTTTGCATGAGTAACTGGGGCAAATGTAGTGGGGCTTCTAGAATGGGGCAGCCGTGGTTTAAGGAGACAGTTTCTTCATCTGCAGGCTACTCACCCCAGGGCCCGGCTACCCGAAGAACAGCCAGTGGATTGGAACGTCCTAGGACAGATGCCACGGCCTTGAACCAGGTTGGGGGTGCACGGATCTCACTGGGGTCAGTCGGCCGGAGAGGGAAGCCCCACGGGTCCACTAAAATGAGGTGTTTAACTCTACATTAAAGGAGGAAAGAGAAGACACACTGTATTCTCTTGGAGGTGCCATCGCCCCTTAAATCGCCTGGGAAGGACAGACCTATTGAAAATGAACACTGGAAGGTTCCCAGCAAGGTGAGGCATTAGGTCTCGAGGGATGGGCAGCTCCTCATTACCTTTCAGGGTACTTGATAGAGTAGGAAGTGGCCAGGAATCCTCCCAAGCTGTGCCCCAGGAGGATCATGCTGGGGATCCCCATGGTCTCCCGCCACGTCTCTATCGAGGTCACAAACTCATCTTCAGCCCCCTCCGGGTCCCTTGGGAACGCTGGCCTTGAGCTTCGCCCGAAGCCAAGCAGGTCGAAGGTATGCAGTGTGCGGCGGGCACTCAGTGAATCCATGTTGAGGATCCAGAGGCCCACGCCGCCTCCGAAGCCATGCACCATCACCAGGGGGGTGCGGTCCTTTTGCTCGGGGCTCACGGTCACTGTCCAGATCTTGTTCTGGTTTGGGAGGGACACATATCTGGCCAGGAATTTGTTCTGGAGACCTGGGGAGGGGAGAATCCCAGAGTAAATCAACATGATTGCTTCCTGGCAGTGTCATCATTTTGCCTGGATTACCTGCCATCCTTCAGATTTCTCTCTCTGCTCCCAAACCCTTCCTAATCTCCCTCAGGTCTTTCCTTCCATAGCCTTCTGACCACTGACAAAGATTCTCTCCTTGACTAAACTTTAGGCAAGCTCCTCTCAGTCTCCTTCTTAAGCAGTTTTTGACCTTGGCCCTGTTCTGTCTTCAGTCTGTCTAGCCCAGACTTAGCAAAGAATCCTGCTACGTCGGGATTAGTAAGTCATACTAAGTCAGTTAGTAAGAAGCCCCTCATCCTTTATGTCTGATCAAGTGCCTCATTCCCCACCTTTGACCTTCCTTTAGCCAGGATCCTGTTAAGTCAGTTTGGCAAAAGTTCCCTTTATCTTTCAAGTCTCCTCTTGTACTTTTCCAATGACCCCCTCTCTATTCGTTGGTTGTAAATCCCCACTTGTCCTTGTATTCAGAGTTGAGCCTGATCTCTCTCTCTCCTATTGTAATAGTCTTGAATGACCATCCTTACTGATTTAATATGGCAGAATAACTTTTTTTCTTTCCTTTTCCTTTCCCTTTCCCTTCCTTCCTTCTCTCTCTCTCTCTCTCTCTCTCTCTCTCTCTCTCTGTCTTTTGAATTGGGGTCTCACTCTGTGCCCAGTCTGGAGTGCAGTGGTACGATCACGGCTCATGGCCTCCTGAACTCAAGTGATCCTTATGCTTCAGCCTCCTGAGTACCTGGGCTCCTGACACCACACCTAGCTAATTTTTTGGATTTTTTTTTTTGGTAAAAATGAGGTCTCACTATGTTGCCTAGGCTAGTCTTAAACTTCTGGTCTCAAGCAATCCTCTTGCCTTGGCCTCCCAAAGTGCTGAGATTACAGGCATGAGCCAACACACCTGGCCAGAATTTTTTTTTTTTGAGTCAGAGTTTTATTCTATCATCTAGGCTGAAATGCAGTTGCATGAACATGGCTACCGCAGACTTGAACTTCTGGGCTTAGGCAATCCGTCTGCCCTAAACTCCCGAGTAGTTGGGACTACAGGTATGCGCCATCATGCCCAGCTAATTTTTTGTCTTATTGTAGAGATGAGGTCTTGCCAAGTTTCCCAGGCTGGTCTTGAACCCCTGGGCTCAGACAGTTCTATTGCCTTGGCCTCCCAAATTGTTGGGATTACAGGCATGAGCCATTGCACCCAGCCAGAGTAACTTTTTTTTTTTAACACTATACACCCTAAAGAATTCAACTCCAGGCGGCGCAATTTGTAGACCACTGAGAATGTAGATAAGAAGAAAGGCTGTCTTATTCCTCAAGGATGTGTGCCTGGCTCCCTTTGAGTCCAGGGTGGTAGTGACACTATTGACACAAGAACTCTTACATTCTTCACTCTTGAAGCTGTGTGTGCTTGGGACTTGACAGATGGGCAGAACTGTGGCCCAGCCTAGCAGAGGGGCTGGTAGGTGTGGACTGAGCCTTAAGGACTGAGGTAGGGCAGTGCTTGCTCTGCTTGTGTGAGAATAGTCACAGGCAGAGTTGCCTGGGTGAAGTAGCCTGGATCCTGGACAGAGGCTTGAAAGCTGTGGTTGTACCTCCCTAGACCCAAAAGAGAGAGGGTAGCCACATGGGGAGTGGTGGGGAAGATTGTATGGGATACCTGAAGAGACCTGGCACCAGGGTCTTGTTTGAGTGAGTGGTTCCTGCTGCTCAGGGCATACCATGCCCTGACATAACAGTGCCCACGAGAGGCGGGATGCAAACTGCAACCTACCGTGGTGGCCAGATAGGTGGTGGGCCCAAACCAGGCAGCCCACAGGTAACAGTAATATTAGAGAGCTGGGACTGCAGGCATGTGCCATTATGCCCAGCTAACTTTTTGTCTTATTGCAGAGATGAGGTCTTGCCAAGTTGCCCAGGCTGGTCTTGAACCCGTGGGCTCAGGCAGTCCTCTTGCCTCAGCCTCCACATCCACCTTGGGTAGGTAGATAGTAAATCTACAAGATGCTTGTGTGGTTAGAGAAAGAGAGAAAGAACAAGAGGGGAATGAGAGAGAAGGAAGGAGGGAGGGGGAGAATGTATATGTTTGTGGTGGTAATCTGCATTGGTATAGAGGTTTTTGTTTCTTTTTTTGAGTCAGAATCTCACTCTGTTGCTTAGGCTGGAGTGCAGTGGCTCACTTACAGCTACCATAGCCTTGACCTGCTAGACTCAGGCAATCCTTCCACCTCAGCCTTCCTAGTAGTCTATAGGGACTATAGGCACATGCCACCATGCCCTGCTAATTTTTTTTTTTTTAAATTTATTGTTTTATTGTAGAGATGAGGTCTCACCAAGTTGCCCAGGCTAGTCTTGAATCCCTGGGCTCAGGGAATCCTCTCGCTTCCACCTCCCAAAAGCCACTGCACTTGGCTGATGTAGGGTTTGAGGTAAAGATGTAGGATGTAGCAGGAACTTTCCCATGGATAGGGAGAAGGTGATGAGCCACCATCATAGAATATGGTGCCCTCTGTGAGAATCTCTTCCCTCAAATCACCCATATCCTTTCCTTCCATTCCTAGCACTGTTCATCAGGGATCAGTAGGCTCAGTGTGCCTGGCTCTGGGCAGATCCTGCATCCTTCTGGGCTTAGGCGATCCTTCTGCCCTAAACTCCTGAGTAGCTGGGACTACAGGTATGCGCCATCGTGCCCAGCTAATTTTTTGTCTTATCGTAGAGATGAGGAAGGTGGGGCAAGCTGTCCTTTCTACTTACACTGGAGGATCCTGGCTTCCACATTCTTCAACTGAGACATAGAAGTGGGGCGCCAAGCAGGCAGCCAGCTACTCAGCCAGCCTTGAGGCCTGAGAGGAGGAGACCAGAGGCATTAGTTAGCAACACTGATGCCCTCAGCCTTGCTGAGAGTTACAAGAGTTATCAGGAGAACTTTCCACTATGGCAGTCAGCATTCCCTAGCTGTCTGATAGACTGTTACTCTTCTCCGGTAAAAGGCTATTAACAACATGCCCCTTGTTTCAACAGATATTCAGAACATCATGTGTACAATTCTTCACAGATTACAAGGTTTTTTCACACTGCTTATCTCATTTCAGCTTTATAACTTCCCTTTGTCACTGGTTATAATTTATGTTCAAGGAGATTAAAGAGGGGAGAGGAAGCAACTTTTAGCTAATGTTTCAGTTATTATTTGCCATCCCCAGGACCAGCTGTTCCTTAAGGTCAGGACAAATTCTCTCGCCATCTGCCCTCCTGGCAGGGCACTGGAGTTTGTATGCACTCTCTTCCAAGCCTCTAAAAGTGGAGAGCATTGCCAGTGCCCAGTTGAGCTCTCAGGTAATCAATCAGTCCAGGTCTGAACGTGGAAATGGGACAGGCAGGAAGCAGCCTGGGTTCAAGTCCTGCTATATATAGCTCATTGATAGGGCAGAGGTTGCCTTTGGTCTTATTTTCTGGATTGTAAGATAAGTAGAATGCTCACCTATGCCCTCACCTCCCACAGCAGGAAGTAAAACAGATAACCCATTCTGCTTTTTCCTTCATACCCAGTGTCTTCTTTAAGTCATTGCAAGAGGTTAAAGGCACTAGTTTAGGAATTTAATACCCACAAAACTCCTGGATATAGTAACAGCACTATTACTGATGAGTAGAATGCTTTAGTTCCTTAAATAACCTGTCTTTGAGCATCTACATATGTCAGGAAACCTGTAAGGTGCCCTGCACAAAATAGATGCTCAATGAAATGACAGTTTTTGTTATTCTTTCCATCTCATATGATATTTCTTTTCTTTTCTTTTTTTTTTTTGAGTTGGAGTCTCACTCTGTCACCCAAACTGGAGTGCAGTGGCTGCTCCCGGCCACTGCAGCCTCGACCTGCTGGGCTCCGGCGATCCTTCTGCCTCAACCTTCCAAGGAGCTGGACTTACAGGCGCGTGCTACCACACCCGGCTGATTTTTTTATTTATTGTAGAGATGAGGTCTTTCCAAGTTGCCCAGGGGGGTGTCGAACCCGCAGGCTCAGGTAATCCATTCACCTTGGCCTCCCAAAGCGCAGGATTACAGCCTGAGCCACCGAGCCGGCCAATAATTTCTCTTTTCTTGAACTCTGCCTGGGTGAAGGAGATTAAAGGACAGACAGCAACAGCTATAGGAAAGGCCAGTGAACACTGGCACAGTCAAGGCAGGGGCACTCTAGGGATGGGGGAACGAAGGGAACCACTACCAACCCCCTTGGCACACACTGGGCATCTTGTGCAGCATTTGAAGCACAGAATTTTAGATTAGGATGTTTCTTTACAAATCATCTAGTCTAATATCTTTGTTTTACAGATGAGCAAACTGATGCCCAGAGAGGTCATACAGCAAGTTAGAAAAAAGAACCAGAATTAGAACCCAGATCTCAGATCCAGGTTTCTCATTATCTCCTCTTTGGACCTTCCAGTCTTTTCAAAGCTATACACAAATACGGAACATAGCCACACTTTTACACTTTTCTGTTTTCTGAAGGGAGGTGTGATCTAAAGCCAGAAGGCTAGAGTTTTATTTTTAGCACTGTCACTTACCAGCAATTTGACTGTGGGTACATTATCTAGCCATTCTGTGTCAGAGCTTCCTCATCTTTAAAAAGGAGGTAATAAACCGGGCTCGGTGGCTCAGCCTGTAATCCCGCGCCTTTGGGAGGCTGAGGTGAGTGGATTGCCTGAGCCTGCGGGTTCGAGACCCGCCTGGGCAGCGAGACCTCATCTCTACAATAAATCAAAAAATCAGCCGGGTGTGGTAGCGTGCGCCTGTAATTCCGGCTACTCGGAAGGCTGAGGTGGAAGGATCGCCGGAGCCCAGCAGGTCGAGGCTGCGGTGGCCGGGAGCGGCCACTGCACTCCAGTCTGGGCGACAGAGTGAGACTCCAACTCAAAAAAAATAAATAAATAAAATAAAATAAATAAATAAAAAGGAGGTAATAGTAGTATCTACCTTATAAGGTTGCTATAAGGATCAAACATATCTAAAGCACAGAAAAGAATGCTTAACTCAAGATAAACTCCCAGTAAACTTTCCCCCTAGCTAAATCATAAGCTGTCTGGATTTCTAGTGTTTTGCGTGTAGCAGCTCTAGAAAAACTGGGGTTGCAGCTGGGAGTGGTACATCAATGGCTTTAGTCAGATGAGAGTCGTCAGCCTCCGTCATTCTAATCCTGGGGAGATTGAGAACGTTTATAATACTCTACTGGAATTCCTTGTGGGCCTGAAGCATGAGGACCAAGACCATAGGATTTTGCCAGTATGTATGTATGTATGTATTCATGTGTGTATTTTTAGGAACAGGGTCTTGTTTGTCGCCCAGGCTGGAGTCGTGGCTCAATCATAGCTCACTGTAACCTCAAATTCCTAGGGCCAAGCAATCTTCCCTCCTCAGCCTCCCAAAGGCTTTGACAGTCTTAAAAGACACATTTGTCTCCAAATCAGAGACTGCAACAAATCCGATAATAACATCAGGACCCACATTGCCCTGTAACTGCCCAAAGCAGAGCTCAGAAGTGCTGTCCCTAGGAACAGCGCCGGGGGCTGCAGCTCAGCAGGCATTCCTTGGCTGGATAGTTACTTTGTCTCTCTTCTTCACTAAAAAATGTTATAGACAAAGCACTGGAAATGGTAACTGGCACACTGTATGTGCTCCATGTCATCAGGGAGGTTAAGGGCTGGAGTGGGACATTGAGGCAAGGAGCGGAGAAGCCACTTGGCCATGAACTTAGCCCGGCCAGGGTGGTCTCTTCCATCCTGACTGGGGTGAAGCAGATGAAGTTCTGTGCTGTGAGGGAATCCTGCTCTAGACCTCTGTGATTTTGGTCAAGTCTCCTAATTTCTAAGGACACCAGCTTCATTTGTAAAAAGAAGCAGAACTTACCTGCATCTCTTCCAGCTCTAATATTCTGCTTCCCTAAGTCATTTTAGGCTTTGTCAATTTCCTCTTGGGAAAGTCACCTTAGAAAGCAACATTCTACTGGGAAGTTACTTCAAGCCCAGGAAGCCATTTATTACTGTCATAAAGCTAATTAGTTTCCCAGGTTTTCCAGTTCTGCAGGTCTGAAAAGAGGGAGAACTGGGTCCAGGAAGGGCCCTGCTCTGGTGAAACCAAGGCTTGGCTGGGAGCTGAGTCATTCTTCTGGAAGGAACTTCTCTTTGTTCCTATCAGATTGTGAACTGCTAGTCACACCACCTACAGGTGGCATCCCAAACCTGATGCCCTTGAGACAGTGGTAACAAAGCCCAATAGCTCAAATTCTGAAACTACCGCATTAAGCATGCTGTTATGATGATTTAAAAAGCATTACCAACTAGGATCACGTGGGTATACGTGTCTCGGTGGGCAAGAGCTAAACTTGCAAGCCGTCCCAACGCGGTGGAGACCTCTTTTCTTTCTGCCCACACCTTATCCTTTGGGGCTGAAGGAGGAGACTCTTTTCACACCCACAACTATTATCCTGGGGCAAGTAGAGACGAGCACGCCAGGCTGCTGCCCCCGCACCCGCGGCCCACAAGCTTGCTTTGGGGGCATCTCACACATTCCCACTACATCTCATCCCTGAGCACAGCAGCTGGAAGACAATGAGCGACCATCACAAAGATTAACGAGGAAAGCCAGAGTCACCAAGCTGCAGGCAAGCTCATCTACCATCGCCCCCCAGGCTCTGCCGCTGCCTCCGCTGGGCGAAAGCAAAGCCAGCAAACGCCACCCCCAGCCCTCCCCGGAAGCCGACCTGGAGAAGAACAGGCAGGAAGGAAGGTGTCTAAAACTGTTCCTCGGCCACAGACAGTCCCAGGATCAGAGAGAGAGAAAGAAAGAAAAAGGCAGGATTAACTCACTGCTGCTCCAGATCATCAGCCATAGTAAACAAGCCCTGCCGGGTCAAGGCGAGCCAGCCCATCCCTCCGCCTGACGCCAGCACCAGCTGACCCAGAAAAGTATCGGATAACAAAGGGGCGTGGCCAGCGCGGGCAGTAGGCGGGGCTCCCAGGAGCCAGGGGAGGCTCTGAGCGCCCGCCTGGGGCAGCTCGGTGACCAGTGGCAGGTGAAACAAGACAGATTGATTTTGGGCTCTTCTTGTTATGCTTTCCATTACTGGCATGTGTCCAGGCAGAGATGCCTCTGGGGGTGGGGGTGGCTCACAAATAGGACAGTAATCCTGGTCACACATTTGGGGGACGGTGAGGGAGATAGGTACTACTTTAAAAAAACCAAAAAACAAAAACAGGAGCGACTCACTCCTGTAATCCCAGCACTTTGGGAGGCGGAGGTGAGAGGATTGCCTGAGCCCGCAGGTTGGAGACCAACCTGGGCAACATGGTGAGACCTCGTGTCTATAATAAATCAAAAAATTAGCTGGGCATGGTGGCTCGTGTCTGTAGTTCCAGCTACTTGGAAGGCTGAAGTGAAAGGATCACCTGAGCCCAGTAGGTGGAGGCTGCGGTGGCCTTGAGCGCGCCACTGCACTCTAGCCTGGATGACAGAGTCTCGGAGACTCCAACTCAAAAAACAAACAAAAAGATGATTTCTTCACAGGGGCTCCAGCAGCCCTCCGCTCTCTCATAATTAAAAAGCGAGACACCGCGGCTGTAATCCCAGCACTTTGAGAGGTAGAAACGAGAGGATTGCCTGAGCCCGTGGGTTCACGACCAGCCTGGGAAACTTGGTAAGACCTCGTCTCTGCAATAAATAAAAAAATTAGCGGGGATGATGACACAAGCCTGTAGTTCCAGCTACTTGGAAAGATGAGGCAGAAGGATCGCCTGAACCCAGCATGTCGAGGCTGTGGTGGCCGTGAGCATGCCATTGCACTCCAGGCTGGGTGACAGAGTGAGACTTCCAACTAACACACACACACAAAGTGACAGAAACACTCCTACACGCTCACACACACTCTCTGGGCTTCCTATTATATAGCTTTCTCCCCCTGAAATCTTCCCTTGTTGATGTTCCTTCTAATAGGATGTTTGTGGGGGAGACAACACCAAGGGTTGCTCCTACAAAGGGCCTGGATGACTGGGCATGGTGGCTCAAGCTATAATCCCAGCACTTTGGGAGGCTGAGGCACTTTGGATTGCCTGAGCTCAGGAATTTGAGACCAGCCTGGCAACTTGGTGAGACCTGGTCTCTACCATAAATCAAAAAATATGCCAGGCATGGGAGCGCATGCCTATAGTTCCAGCTACTTGGAAGGCTGAGGTGGAAGGATCACCTGAGCCCGGCAGCCAGCAGGTCGAGGCTGCAGTGGCTGTGAGTGTGCCATTGTATTCTAGCCTGAGCAACAGAATGAGACTCCAACTAAAAACAAAAAGCGGGGGGGGGAACACGACACACCACGACGACCCTGGATGCCAGATATAAAAAATAAAAATCAGGACACCTAGTTAAACTTAAATTTCAGATAAACAACAAATACTTTTTTAGAATACATATGTGTCATGCAGTATTTAGGACATAACTGGAGTCTTCTATTTTATCTGGGAACCCTAAATCTGTGTGACATCTACCAAGATGGGGCATTCCTCTGCTCTGGGGTTGACTCTGGCCCCAACTTAGTTTCCAGTGAAAATGTTGCTCAGGCCGGGCTCAGTGGCTCAGCTTGTAATCCCCGCACTTTGGGAGGCCGAGGTGAGTGGAATGCCTGAGCCCATGGGTTTGAGACCCACCTGGGCAACTTGGTGAGACCTTGTCTCCACAATAAATAAAAATTAGCCAGGCGTGGTAGCGCGCACCTGTAGTTCTGGCTACTTGGAAGGCTGAGGCAGGAGGAGTGCCAGAACCCAGCAGGTCAATGCTGGGGTGGCCGTGAGTGTGCCATGGCATTCCAGCCTGGGCGACGGAGTGAGACTCCAACTCAAAAAAGAAAGAAAGAAAGAAAGAAAATGTGGTTCAACATCAGGTCTTCTTCTGTTTGGAGGATAGCAGTTGAAGGACTAAGCTATAATGCTGGGTTTACTTTAGTTATATGGGTTTGGGGGCCTGTAAGGTAAGATGGCTTGCTTAGCTTAGAGGTCCTGAGAGCATTTCAGACTTGCTCAATAGAGGAACCAAATTTTGAGGCTGGCTACAACATTTACTTGAACTGGTAAACAGGATCTGATGTCCCTGGAGCTGTCAGATTTCAGATGGTTCCTTTAGTTAAAACCAGACTGAGGGGTGATGTAGGATGGGTGAGAGAATGCTGGTGCAGAGGGGTTTATTGCGGTATTTTTCTTTAGCCTTCCTGTAAGATGCAGAAGATTCTCTTTTCTTGTAGCAATGTTACGCTGGTCATTATAAAGACTTTAAGAAAACCAGTTGAGCCAGGCTCAGTGGCTCAGCCTGTAATCCCGCGCCTTTGGGAGGCTGAGGTGAGCGGATTGCCTGAGCCCGCGGGTTCGAGACCCGCCTGGGCAGGCGAGACCTCATCTCTACAATAAATCAAAAAATTAGCCAGGTGTGGTAGTGCACGCCTATAGTTCCAGCTACTTGGAAGGCTGAGGCGGAAGGATCGCCGGAGCCCAGCAGGTCAAGGCTGCGGTGGCCGGGAGCGGCCACTGCACTCCAGTCTGGGCAACTAAGTGAGACTCCAACTCAAAAAAAAATAAAAAATAAAAAATAAATAAAAGACAAGTGTGACTGGTTTAGCGTGGACATCTACACTCCAAGGCCATAAGAACCACCTTCAACAGTATCAACATCTGCATTTGAAGGCCAGACTACTGACAACTCAAAATCCCAAAACCACTTCTTGACTCCCAATCCAAAACTCCCTAAAATTACTTCTCAAAGCCCAATGAGCCAAGACTGAGGTTTTATAATTAGCTTGCTGGTTTCTCTCTATAGAGCCAGCCAGCCCCCTCCACTTTCTTTTCTTTTCTTTGATAAACCTTTAGGCTGGGCTCGGTGGCTCAGCCTGTAATCCCGTGCCTTTGGGAGGCTGAGGTGAGTGGATTGCTTGAGCCCGCGGGTTCGAGACCCGCCTGGGTAGTGAGACCTCATCTCTACAATAAATCAAAAAATCAGCCAGGCGTGGTAGCACATGCCTGTAATTCCGGCTACTCGCAAGGCTGAGCCGGAAGGATCGCCAGAGCCCAGCAGGTGAGGCTGCGGTGGCCGGGAGCGGCCAGTGCACTCCAGTCTGGGGGACAGAGTGAGACTCCAACTCAAAAAAAACAAAAAAAAACAACCTTTAACCAGCAATGGCTTGTCTCTTCCTTCTCGGCATATGTTACACCAGCATTTATAGAGATTCCGGGGCTTAGGAATTTGCAAGATGTGGGGCAACGGAATACAAATAGCAGAGGACTTGTTTCATTTATTCTTTCTACAAACCACAGTGGTCCTATCCTTTGATATGCATAAGAATCATCTAGAGGGCTTGTTAAAAATTCAGTTTTTCTGTCCCTGCCCTCTGATATTTGAATTCAGCTGGTTTGGCTTGATGCTTGAAAGCTACATTTTTAGGAAGCACTGCGGATGCTGGTGCTTACTGAGACTCATTGGTTAGTTACAAGTCTAGTTTCCTTTTTTTTTTTTTTTTTTTTTTTTT